TTAGGGCTCTTTCGGGACGAGGACTAGTAACGCTTGATCACGGGGCACTTTGAGAATTTGGCTAAGGCAAAATCCCGAGCATATACCCCCGAGGACTACCAATGTGATTTTGGAGGTATTTTGGAAGGTCCATCCTCGAGGTATCTCGAGCACCATGCAAGCTCGAGGACTCGGGTCCCATAATCCAAAAAGAAGAGCCCTTGCAGTCCTCATGCTCGAGGTGTCCGTAATAATGACCACATCACTCGTCATTCTGTTTTTATCCTGGACGAGGAGCTCGATTGGTTGGGACCAAACGTGGTCAATGTTGGACTTTGACCTCTTATAATTTAGAATAATGCTTTGTGTACAATGTTTAGTTGACAATGTATTTGACAATCAATGTTAATTCAAATTCGAATGGGCGGGAAAGTGTGTGGTGTTTAAAAACTGGCCAATCAACCTTCAATATGTGGCACATTGTCAAACTTGTTGTCAAAGAAATTGTACTTGTAGTATGGTTGATTTATACCCAAGGCCAAAACCCTTTTCACAAAGCCCTAGATTCTCCTGATTTCAACGCTTTGCTTGCCGACGACACAAAACAACAGGAAAATGGCTTGGCGTGGTTCGCTTTCTAGATCTCTTATGTCCACCGCGAGGGCTTCTGCCTTCCGCTCTTCTCCGCCACTCGCAGCCGGCCGCATCCGTCCTCCCCCGTTATCTGCCCCTCGCCGTTTCTCATTCTCCAATCCTAGGTCCCGAATCCCAATTTTGATTTCTTTTTTTCTAACTTAGGATTGATGTGGGTTTGTTTATTTTCTCTGTTGAAATGAGGATTCAAAATCTTAGAAAATGGAACTGATTTTTTCTGTTTTTCTAACCCTCTTTCAGGTCTTTTGGGTTTCAAAGATTGGGTTCTGGAACGAAATTTTACAATTTCTTACAAATTATTCGATTTTCACTTATGGGCTTCTTTCTTTTATTTATTTTCTCTGCAATTTTTAAATAGTTTTTTGAAGCCCAAATAATATTACATTTTTCTCTGCCTCTATTCCAGCATTGAATCAATATTATTACGAGACATATATCTTTTTCCTTTTGGCTTTCTGGGTTTGTCTAAATAGTTTCATATTGTGCGCTTCTTAGAAACGGATGTTTTTATTTGTCAATGTAGGACCTTGAGGGAGCTGGGGTGCGTGCAGTCACTGCTACCTCTGCATAATATGGCTGGAGTTAGGCTGACATCTTACTTGGCAACCAATGTTCGAGCCTGCTGTGAGCTGTCCCACGGTACCTTCTGCCGTTCTTGTCAGGATCGCTAGTAGTTTCTTTGTGAGTCTTAAAACTGTTGTTACCAGGAATGACCAGCCAACTAATGCCATTGACGAAAAAAAAACTTAAAATTTCATATTGTGTTCTTCCTGACGCACATTGATTTTATCACCGTCATTATTTGTGAAATATGTTGATGAGTTGAGTCTGGCTATTTCTGAGATATTGTTAATGAGTTGAGGGGTGAAATAATTGAATTATTTTTGAGCTTGTGAAAATTTGTTGATAAGAAAGAGTTGGGATTATTGGGATTGATAGGGAGGACAGGGGAAGATGGGTGATGTTAGCAGCGCTTCCCGACACTCAAATGCAGGACCTGATGCCACATTGTAGGTTGTTTTTTTGTCCTTTTTTCTGCATTTTGATCTAGCATAATCTTTCTTCGAGTTAGGGATAAGATTCATTAACGCGAGAGCTGTTTCAGTACTGAATATATAATTTATAATTATTAGAATGTTGGACTATCTTATTTCATGGCATGGGGAACATTTATATTTTTTATGGTGTATATTTATATGAAAAGCAAAACTATTCTCACTTGTGTAAAGTGAATGATTTGTGATTGAGCCATATGTCTTTCTATATGTTTTTGCTTCTCCATCTCAGTATATAGTATAGTAACAATTCAATGAAAATTTAAACAAATATGAGAAAAATTAAAAACATAAGGATTATTTCCTTTTCTTCTCCTCCAGCTTGAGATATGGAGAAATCACGAGCCAGATATTGAACGGTTTTAGTTTATTAATGTTTCTAAAAGATGGAAAAGGCAGATTCTAGGCATGAGAAAAGACTCTGCTTATGGAAAATGCATGAAGAAGGAAGCTAACCCTATTTTGACAGCCTATAATGCGAGCTAAGGTGCCAAAAGACGCGAATAATGCTAGCCTAAGCACCTTTTTATTTTTTAAAGTTAAATAAACTAATTAAAGAAAAGGAATTATTATTAATAATCTTAGAATAATTAAAATAATATTTTGACGGCCTATAATGCGAGCCTAGGCTACTTGAGGCTTGACAACCTTGGGTTTTACAATTCAAGGCTGATGCAGAAGTTGTACACTTTGTTTGTTTGACCTGAAATTTGTTCTGTGCTTTTTGTACCTTTGTTTCCCATGTTTTCATAAATTTTACGTTTCTAATGCATGACCATGCTTTTTCGGTTTTTCCAAAAATATTGCTATGAGTTTAAATTTTATCAGCTTTCTTTCCTCTCAAGTGCCCTCCAACAATTCTCTTTATTTTGCTTTTTTCAAAAATCATTTAGCCCCTGTTTGGTAGGGATTAAAATCAGATTTTTAGTAAATTTTGATAAAAGTTGATAAAACGTGTGGTTGAGAAGTTGTGGGTCCCATAAAATGTGTAGTTAAAATTAATTGTTGACTTTGACTTAGATTAATATAAGAATTTTAAGCTCTACCAAAGAAGGGCATATTATTTTTCCCTCATCTTTTATTGAACTTATTCTTTTTAGATGTCAATATGGCCAATCAATTCATATGATTTGAATAATTTGAGAAGTAGAGTATTGAAATATGTAACTTATTAAATGCAATTATTATAGAGTAAGAATTGAGAATCTCTTAGAGCTTAGTTTTGTGAGTTGGTTCTTTAGAATAAAGAGCATTCTGAATTTAGAGATCTCTTGGTATTGCTCTTAAATTTGTGAGGTATATTATTTGGTAGTATGTACAACAGTAAAAAGATATTGATCCCTGATTTTACTTGACTCTGTTTTCTTGTGAATAAATTTGTAAATTTCTGTGAACTTCATCATTGTCTTTTATTAACATGTATTTAATTAAAATTATATGTATACTAGAGGCTACTTTAAATCATTTTGCTTATTTAGATTTTTGAAACTGGTGATTGAATTATTGGATTTTGCTTTTATTTGGTGAGTGTGTGCATAACATGACTTTGCCACTGTAGTACAATGTTTCGAGTGGCTTATTTTTCAGCCGATGAAGGCAATAGATGACGAATATAAGGGTTTTGCAAAAAAATTTCTCTCTGGTTTAGGATGAGGATTAGAATAATTTACGATTTCTACGATTAAAACAGCTCTATTCCAAAAACTCAAATTATTTGGGAGGGAAAGAAAAGCCTTTTGAATTCTGCTTTAGATACTCATCTTTAAGCTGCCAACCTCTGTGAATTGACTGAAAAAGCTGATGAAATGAATTATATTGTGTCTATTTATGTCTATAACGTGCATGCATATAGGAATTTCCATACAGATGTGGTTAAATAGCTTGCACCAAAACACAATGCTCTTGTATCTTATCTGATACAAAATTTTATAAATATCTTATTCTATATATCATATAGTTGACTGATAAAGAACTACTCAACTTTCCATCCAAAATTCAGATTTTTATTTTTATTTTGTACAGGGTTAAAGGATTAGTCGCGTATGTGTGTGTGTCTAAAGAGTGTTGTGTTCACATAGATATTTAACCTTCTTAAGGGTGTCCTTGTTTCTTAAGTTTCAAGGACCCTATTTTACTATCTTTTTCTATCAACGCCGTACAGTCTTTGTCAACATTTGGTTCTTCTGGGGATTTCAGTTGCTTTGCGTGTGCATGTTGGGCTCAAGAAACTTGTATGTACTATTTCAACTAATTGCCAAAATGCCAAGCATATTTAAATCACTTATTTCACCTTTTAATTATGCGGTTTACACTGTTTTCCATATTTGTCATCCATGCCGTATGGTATTCTTTTGCTAATACAAATCATGCAAACTCGTGTTGTGGCAGGTACTTGAAAATATAGATGGACCAGTACACCAGGTGCTCGAATACCTGAGGTCTCTACATGTAGGTCTATTCAACGGGAACGTCCTGTTTGGGAAGGAAAAAATAATAGTAGTACTAGTTGCGCGTAGTTATGTTTTCGTAGACAATAATTGAAATCATTTTTATATTTGAGGAATTTGTGGTTAGCTGCATTTTTACCTTTCATATTTAATGTCTACATGGAGTTTGATTTGTGTTGATCTTATTAGTTGTTGGAGTTCATGGATTTCTGCAGCATTCAAATGTTGTTTGCTGCCAGACACGTGGACATCTTTTTCATTAGAATTGTACAACTGAGGATCCAATTAAATTTTGGTTATTCAGCACTGCCCAAAGCCCCTTAAACTTTTGTTGTCTTTAAGAGCTGTCATTAGGGTATAAAAGTTCTGAACCTCTCATTGCCAAGCCCAAAAAAGGCATTTGCTCAGAAAATTGACACGTAGGTCTTGTCTCTGGACAATTCTTTAGCCGAAGATGGATATGCTCATTCGTCTTGCTGAGAAAGATTTAACCTAGTGGAGGACTTTAAAGCTTTAATCACCAAGAAATTTTCTTATGTGCTAGCTGTGGATAATCATACAAAGGTCTAATGAAAGGTACCTGATGATGGATACACTGTTGTATTGTAGTTTTATGATGGCAAACAAGAATCTTGTTCTCATTGGTCCATGGTCCCTTCCCTGCTTTAAGTCTAAACTCAGTTCGGGAAAAGTTCGCTAGTTCAAAAGGTGTACAGGTGGTGAGAATCATTCGATATGGCTCCTTTCGGGTATAACTACGATTCTATTATCAACTTATCTGAAAGCAAATTTGTAGTCCTTTCAAATTTAGGATGTGTTTGATGAATATTATTGAGGAAAGAATATATTTTAAATAGTGATATGATGGGAAATATGTGGTTAAAAAAGAAAGAAAAATTATTGATATGATGAAAAATATTATTTTATTTAAGAATGTGTGGTTGAAAATGAGTTTTGAAAGAATGTATTTTAAAAGAATTAGTCACAGTTAAACGTACATTGCACGTTATTTTGTAATGTTTTATAAAAGCTGTAAAAATGATATTTGAAAATCAGTGAATATAAAAAATAGTTAAAAAACTGTTTATGTGAAATGAATTTTTTATACAATTCAATTATTTATTTACGTGTATTATAATAATTAACATTAATTTATATATATCCTACTATAATTCAATCAATTAATTCTTCAAGTTTGTGCATACATACTTTCTATATTTTTTTATAAATTATTAAATATCATATAATTTATGAGCTATTCAATTATTATAGGAGTAGATAAATTATTCAAGTTTATGCC